TATTTTTATTCTGTTCATTCAAATATAAGATGATTATCTTAATGTTTACAAAAAAATTATGTTGATTTCGTGGTTTTTATACAGGAGTGTGGCAAGCAGTTTCAGGCCCAAAGAAATACGCACGAATTATGAAACAAGGGCACTTTCCTTGTTCCTTGGTGATAGCAATAAACTTATGAATACGGAATTTAATGATAAACAACTCACAAAATGCACATAGTTGAAGATGCTTTGCGTCAAATGATATCAGAACAGAAACAAAGTTCTGTCCAGCCTTCATACTACATGATTTTTCCAAGTTTTTTGACAGGCATACTCCAAATCTTATATTTACGGAGGAGCACTTAAACCTACCTTGCCTCCAGACTACGTTGTCATGTTTCCGGCACTTTCTTTAAAAGAAGAGCCAAGGTGAAGTCCTAAAGTGGAGTGATAAATGTTACATACTGGAAATGCAGTGTATCCTACTTAACGTTTGTTTGTTTTTGTATACCAGCACACCATTATCTTTCATCTGCCTTAAAATCTATAGGGATATTTCACACCCTTTTCTTAAAAAATGGCCGGTTGTACAAAAGAATGTGTAAACACTATTAAATTTCCCTCCTTCTTCGTCACTTTGCTTATCATCTTTTCTTACACAGACTAATCTCAGAATCGATTTATTTAAAAAGTGAACTTTCAAAATCAGGTACAGATAGGCCTCTAACTTTCAAGCAATGATATTAGAAGATTTAGGAATGTTTTAAATTACGTGTTTCTGTCATTTAATTGCATCATAGTCTCAAAATAACGGGATGACATAAATAGCATTCATTATCAGTGTTGTCACGTGCATTGAATCATGGTAATCTGGTATTAATCTTATTCGGTGCCACAAATTTCCTTTTTAAGAAATGTGTAAAATGAGTGCATAATGTAGATCGGTGGTATTCAAACTTTTTTTTTCGCGTACCCCCAGATATAATTTCTCTTCAACTTTGTACCCCCAAATTTGTTGCTTCAAGTTATACATAGTATATAATCTACATCTAAAATAAATTAAATAAATTACATTACTGATTATTCAGTGTTTATCATAAATTTACCACTGATGTAGAGGATTTCTTGCCCTCCATCAGTCTGCATGTTTCGCCTACAGAGCAATGCACAATTTCACTATAATTTAGCAATGGGTTCTACACTACAAATTGTGAAACGAATTTCATTTTTGTCTAAATTGGCTGATCAAAGTAACTACTTTGTATGAAACTTAAACTAATCTCACCAGTTTTCTCAGAAATGGTGTTATGTACATTAATTTGTGACATGCAATATTAGATATCATTGTAATCTGTAACCTTCATTTGGAATATTTTTAGGTTATGTATATTTAATGATATAATGGGAAAAAACAATTAATGACTTTGTAGTGTAGTATCTGTAATGCTTGTTATCTTTATCTAAAAAAATGATAATTATGTAATGTGGAATCTGTAATGTTTATTTGCTTTGTATCTGGATAGATGTGCATCAAAGCAATTGAGGTATGAAAAATTGTAAAGAAAGTCTTCCACTCTTGTAAAATCATAAATGTATGTAGACATATGACAGAGATATTTAGAATGAAATAAATATATTAAAAATATATTGTTCTGTAGAAAAATTAAAATTGTATACTTTTGTGTTCAAACAAGAAATTCTTATTAATGACAGAGTCTATTCTGCTGAAGAGAGGTACGGGGCATGCTGTGTCATCCATGTTATTAGCTTCCTATAGAAGTTTGAAGAGAGCGTGTAGTAACAAAATATAACGTAATTTATCATCAATTCCCAAAATAAAATAGACTTCAACTGTGTCTAGAAAACAAATCTTGACTTACGTATATACAGAAAACTTGTCAAATGAGTTTCTAAGGATAAATTAACTGTCTGTTAAAACAATATTTAGTTCTTTTTATAATCCATATATAATGTTATTTTACTACAAATTATATTTGATATATGATAAGTAAAATTCAGTTATATCATAGGTTCTCATCCTGCAGCCAACTAATGTATTTTTTGCATGCTCGGATGTATGAAAATCACAGTAGCAATTAAACTTGTCATAGAAAGACCACTCGAGTAAAAGCAATGTCAAATATTTCACTAATGACTGATCTTGTTATTAAGTAATTTGTGAACATGTTTATAATGGTAGGTATATTTAACATTTAAAAATAACTGTCATGGGTTTTCAATAATTGTACTCATTTATAACCTTGTGGCCTATAAGTTGACAGGAAGTGTAAAATGTTGTAACAGGGAAAAATGATAATCTGTGATTTATAATGCTAAGATACTAATGTATACAATGAAGTGCGTATGACTTAGTGACAAGTAAGTTAACTGGCAAAAGGCACTACACAGACGGATGGAAGCAAGGTCAGTAATTATTTGCACATGAAGCTGCCAGTGAGTGTTCTGAAAGAAATGCATCAAATTAGTTAAGTCAGTTAACTATTGTGCCGAGGCCATAGGCTCTTGTGTGCTGTGAGGTTAAAGGGGAACGACCTTAAGACTGGGTGAGGGCCGGATCGATACCAATCTATTTGCTGCGCCGGCGCGCGAGATATGAGTGGGCGTGATTGAAAAGAAGGGGGGGGGGGGTTGTAATATCTTGCCTGTTTCTCGCTAGCACAAACAAGGACTATTTTTCAGAACACCGGTAGGGTAAGGTATTTAGCTGTTTCTGTACTGCCGTGTTTTCCCCGAGATTTCGAGGCAGCTGTTCCGTTGTTCGTTGTAAATCAGGTAAGTCTGCAGTGTTTAGAACGACTTCTCTGTCTGGTCTGCAATTCAGTCAAAACTGAAGCAGTCACCATGTTTTTTGGGGGTACTGTTCATACTTCTGTGTTGTTGCGCCTGAAGTCTGGTAGAAGTAAACAGACTTTTCAGAGGTCCTGATGATGCAGGTAGCAAGGACCTCTGAAACGTCGGTAAACTTCTACCAGACTACACGGCGCAACAACCATCTTCAGACTCACAGCCGTGTGAACCTCAGATCCTACTCGGAAATACGCTGACAATGAATTATCATAACTCGTCATGCTCTGCTGAGGGTATCACTGAAGTTAAGTTCACTTTTTATGCTGTGGTTAGAGCTGACTGAAGTTTTAATTTGACGTTTTATAGAAGTCTCTGCAGTTTCTGCAATAGTTACCCTAGAGGTTCCAAGAATCAATGCTTAAACATACTCTTGTTTTGTTCATTCGTGGACAGGAATCTTTACCTGTCAGTGTCAACATTGGTTCAGCTGTTTTTAAATGTTTTGATCCACTATGGGAAATAATTCTGTCCATACTTGGCAGTCAATTTTCAGACTTTAAACATCTTCTTCTTCTTGTAGCGTTATAACCCTATGCGGGTCTTAGCTTGTTCGACGAGTTTTTTCCATTCTGTCCTATCATTTACAATTCTTCTCCATCCCCTCACTCCCATCGTCCTCACATCCTCCTCCACGTCATCTATCCATTGTTTCTGTGGTCTCCCTCTCATCCTACTTCCCATCGGTCTTCTAGTTACCCTGTTTCCTTCCATTCTTGCAACATGGCCAAGCCAGGCTAACCTTTTGCTTTTGATCAGCCTCACGATATCTGCTCCCTGTATGATACAATCTAGTTCATGATTCATCCCAATTCTCCAGGAGCCATCACTATTCTGTATTGGACCATAGATTTACCGTAATATTTTACGTTCAAAAATTCTAAGTTGTCGCTCACCAAAGCTAGTTAATGTCCAGGAGACTTTAAGCATCTGTGTAAATCATATTTTCGTGTTACTTGTACGTTTCTTACCGTTTTCCTTATGCCCAACTAAGCGCTGCAGTGCACTGTATTCGATCCTGGCACATCATGTTACTGCATACTTTCATCGCCCGTCTGCTTTTGACAAATACTTACACGTAAACTGTCCATGTGGTAATCAAGTGGGTAGTGCTTCTGTTTCATATTCATGAGGTCTTTGGTTTAAAGACTCGACCCGAAGACCAGCTACCCTGATATTTTCATGTTTTCATTGGTTGCTACAGGCACAGGATATAAAGTCTTTCAACACGATGTCATAGCATACTGATCTCGTCAGAAAGAAGTTCAAGTCTTTCTGCATCTTATCTCATTAGGAATGGGAATGAAATTCAAACTTTCAGATCACACACTTTCACGGCAGAAGTTGCCAACAGTGATAATAGTGCGTGTTGGAAGAAAATGTTTAGTATGATTTGAGCTGTCTTCTGGGTCGTAGTGCCATGTTGTCTGGCAGAAATTTACCAATGTTTCAGAGGTCCTTGCTGCCTCTGTCGTCAGGGCGATGAGTACTTCATGGTGCTACAACTAAGAAGACAGCCATCTCAGAAGTTGGTTATTTATGCATGTAACTCAAAACCAACCCATAAGAAAAACTATTCTCATCAGCAAACAGACAGGCTGATAATTTTATAAACTCGACAGTAGTTGACTACCTCACCTTATCGTGGTGGTGGGGCTTGAGTACCTCAGTGACCCCAAGAGCTACTGGTAGGGCCTCCCTAGCCAGATTGGTCGAGGGGGAGAGGTCAGACTAAGACAAGTACCCTGGTCCTCCAGGTTGGGGGTAGGTTGCAAGGCTAACAACCTTGCACCGTAAAAAGGAAGATGTTTCGAAACCTCAATCAAAGCCTCAGACAGACGTACCTAACAGAGGACCAAATGGAAGAGGAGAATTGAGGAGGCCATGGACCGAATACGGACCGGAGAGCCATAGAAGAAGAAGTTGACTACCTCATGCTGTGGTGCAAGTTGGAAGTATATAGACCATTTTATGTTGCATATCAAATTCATATGTATTAAATCTTTAGCAATTACTTTAGCTCAAATTCATCTTACAGTTTAAGACAATAAAGCAAACATGCCGTTATACAAATGACTGGTTACACAAATCTTCATAATGCTTTTGTTGCACTGCTCTATCTTAATTAGTTATTGAAATACAACAGTTTTAACTAAAGGGGGTGCAGAAACACAAAACAAGTCGTATATTTGCATCTAGGTAACTGCACATGGTACATTTCAACTTAGCATACTAATGGAAAAATACTGTAGCATTTAACACATATTTAAGGGTTAATCTTTGTTATGTGTATTCCAGAGGATGGCTCTACCATTAATACAGAGGTTGTTACATTCTCTGTAGAAGTAAAAACAACAGACTTAAATGCGAGAAAATAAGCTATCTACTATTCTTTCTCCAGGCAGATGGCAATTTAGTACGTACCGACTATTTATTAGACTTAAATCTCCGACAACAGGTTAAAATGTTTATGGTTAAATGCATCAAAAGATCATCCCAGTGATCTTATTCTAGAAGGAAGAGATACTGGTATTCAGATTTCACTTATTGGAGGTACAGAATACTTTTCAAATGTTTCGATGAGAAGTATATCTTCAGAATACTGAAAAAGTACACATTTTGTTTAGAAAGAGAAAAGCGAAAGCAGTAAAACACTTCCATAAAAGTTTCTGCATAAAAAAAGGTGCTGGTTTGACAATGTTACGTGTTAGTAGAAAATGGTTGCGTATCCTCCAATGACGATGAACAGCAGTCCAAGCTACTGTCAGATCATATAAGCCAAATTTAAAATTAATTAATTGTAATTAACATATTTTATTCCTAGTTACTGTTATTTTGAATTTTGTCTTGGTTGGGAACCCTGTGAAGAGGGAATACTCCAGCCATATCTAAACAGGACCACCTTACGCTCATTTTTCCACCAACACCTCGCAATGGCGCATCTTAAAGAGTATTTCTTGCCAGTACAGAAGCTTCTGTTTATCTCTGAAGTATTATTCAAACTCAATCAGAACATCATCTTCTCCAACGGTGTCTCCTGCTTTCACATTTACAGCTTTCACTTTGCCAGTTGCACCAACCACCAATGAATTCTGCATTTTCATAGCCTCTGTACCAACAAACATCAAAACATATAATATTAGACCTGAAATAAAATATAAGATTTGTTTGCTTTTTTCCAGTTTGAAAGGCAGTTATACATTAATGAGTCAGAATCTTCCAACACAGCTGGCATTCTCAAATTGAGTTTCATTTATTTACTTATTAGATATGTAAATAATTATAAAAATATATATTTACTATCATATAACTTATTTACAAATTAGTATTGATTGTAATTATGGAGAAATTTGCGGTGGTCCCTATTTAATGAATCTCTGGGAGAATGTATTTCCTTATACTAAATCAAGGTTTTATCAATCAGTAAAGTGACTGGCTACGGATTGGACGGCTGGGGTTCGATCCCCGACGAGGCAGAGGACTTTCCTCTAGCCTCTGCATCCACACCAGCTGACATCCACCCAGCCCCTTATCCAATAGGTACCGGGATCCTTTGCCAGGGGTAAAGCGCGACCGGGGCGTGACGCTGTGGGACAGCTTTTAAGAAACTGTTAATTGTATTTGACTGTGATACAATAATTATTTAAGGAAACTACTCGTATTTGTATACAAATAAGTACATGGCTTACTCATTGCAGTGATGATTGAGGCAGAAGCTACCACCTCTGAAATGTCAGTATACTTCTACCACACTACACAGCACTACAACCCAGGAAACGGTGATCATCATACTTGCTGCTGTGAGAACCCAAAATCTCACCGAGGTAAGCACAGATTGATACTCAAAGGGCCATGGAAATGAGTAATTCTACTGCGAGAATCATTCATGATAGTGCTGAAATAATTTTTACGGTGTTAGATCAATCATTGGATCTCACCGTTACCAGAGTTACATAACGTTGATCTGATGCAACTGAAAAATGAGAGAATTGCTGTCCACATAGATCAGATATCAGAATCAACAGAACATGTTTCTGTCTGGAGGGGTCATTCAAGAGATGGCAAGTTTGAGGTGGTCTGACCACTTTAAGTTTCACCACGAATTCTACAATTTCAAGATGACTGGCAAAGCTGCAGGTGCAAATTGCTGCTAAAGAATTGCATACACACTCTTGAAAGCAATGGTTATAGGAGGTTACACACTGAAGAAGGTGCTTAACCTAGATGAAACAGGCCTGTTCTGGAAGCATATACCGAGTTTCGCTTGCATTTCTACTGAAGAGTAGACAAAAGTCTGGATTTAAGGTTGCCACTCTTGTTAAGAGGATGTCCTGAGAATTACAGAATAAGGAATAAGAACCATCTTCAAAGACTAACCTTTCATCTCTTATTCTGTTGATGAATTCCTACCGTATGAAAAGGGCTCATCTTTTTACATGTTAATATATTAATATGGTATAATTAAAATAGCAGTGGACTTAGTGTAACATTTAATATTTTTATGTTAACCTTTGTTGCTGTGAAACCTAAGTAATATTTTAAATTACACTCATCTGTGTGTTTCGTGTTTTATGACTTACTCCTCATCGTATAGTCAGTCTCAATAACTTTTGGATTCATGGAATGCAGAAAAACAATATTTCCTGTAGTTTTCAATTCAAATAAGAAAGGTTGGATAATGTCAGTCAGTAAACATTATTCAAGGGAGCAACAAGAGAACTGTGGACCTAATGTGACAAGAAGATGATTCCCTGGTATAATTTTTTTAATGCTCCACGCTGACTGAATGATGTGTTGAAGAACCTCTGGCCTGAAGCTATAAATTACATCAGAGGCTTTACGATGACGGATGGCGTTAGCGACAAAGAAAACCACTGTTGACATATCCAGAAGGTTGATGAAAAATATTACAAGCTGCTAGAATCTAAAAGATGACTGTCTTCTGGGTTATAGTGCTATGCAATCTGGTAGAAGTTTACCATTGTTTCTGAGGTCCTTGGTGCTACTTATATGTTAATCTGGCAGTAGGATTTTTAAGATGTTCTTACATCCATAAAAGTGTTCTGAAATGGACAATATTTAATCAATTTGTTGAGAAACATATATTTAACGTATGTATATCTTACGTGGTTAAATGAGAAACCTAATTACTACATGTGCACACAAGACAAATATGAAAAGAAAGAAGTACTGGTTATCATGCACTTCACACATGTGCATGTGGACAAGTTTGCAGACTTAGAGTGATTAACTACTAAGTGCAAATAATAGAAAGTAACAGATTAATTACTTCAAAATTAATATTAATAATCATCAAGTGTAGATAATGCATAGATACATAAAGTAACTGTAAAAAAGGGTTAATACAGTATGGTATTCATAGAGAGGGTCATGTTCCTAAATTTATCACAGGGGAACAGACATACAGAGATAAACAAACACACAAGTTTTCAGGCACGGTCAATGTGCTCACAGGACCTACAATTCAGGTATAAATTCTCTGAGAAGAAACAGCTAAGATGGCTGTACAGAGACAGAAAACGTACCAACAACACAGACTTCTTGTCCTTCGGCTATTGTGTCTCCAACTTCGCAAGAGACTGATTTCACCATTCCTGGCATTGGTGAAAATACCACCTTCGATACATCCACCTAGAATTAATTATTCGGGCATATGATGCTGTAATTACACTGCAAGCCATTTTATTATGATTCATTAATATGCAAGACAATTTTTTTTTAACCCTTCAGTGCTGACCTCAGTTTCATCACACGATGCCAGCCCCTATATGTTGTACAGACCAGGTGCATGGGGTTTAAACCTCCGCCGTGCACAGTGCAGGGCACTATTTAAATGGCTGCCATCACTGACGAGTTAACTGTTTGTTTCATATAATTTTCTGTGTGTGAGAAAGCTAACATACGCACATGTACACTCAGATAAATAAATTTAATGTAAATGATTCAAGCAAGTAAGCAATCAACAATCAAACTACATATTCTTTTCCTTATATCGGCCCTTATAACCTGGTCAGCACTGCTTACACTTGCAGAAAGTACCACATTTTGTAGGAATGGGAAAGAAAGAAATTACTCAAAATAAAAATGAAAATATTTGCTGATGGGTCTAGAGAAAAACATTTCTTGGAGAAAGACTGGAAATGGAGATGAATTCCTCATGCTTTTTTAAAATGCTTATGAAGACCCTAACTAAATCTGAGTGACACTGATAACAATTTGAGTTGATATTACTCAAAAATGTTACTGACCAGAACAGTGTAATACTACACTAAAGACTTATATTTGGGAGATAATCCTGTTCAAATCCTGGTCACACTACTACTGGTTCTATTGCTTGAGGTTTTCTATGGCTTTTCATGGTGTTTCCAAGCAAATAATGGAATAATACCTTCACATAAGCCATGACCACCTCAAGATTATCTTGTCCTCATAATTTCATGCTGTGCGGCCTCTGCATTTAAAGCAGCAATCTTGAATGAATTAAGTAAGATGGACTTTATGTAGTAATTAACTTGTGATAAGGAACTGCACAAGAGCTGAGCAGTCTCAACGTATTATTTGTCCGCTTTTTGAATGGCTCTATAAAGAACTCACCTTCGGCTTCTCTGGCATCATTTTTAAAAATTTACTTGCATTATCAGACAGAACAGTAAGAGTGAACATTGTTCCTTGGTACCTATGAAAGAAAATAATTATGTAGTTATATTATGTGTTTTCTTAAAATTGTAAGTGAAACGTGATAAGAGGACTAAGGACACCTATTAAATGATGAAAAATGCATTTAAGGATACAAATTTTACTCTGCACTCTCAATAAGGAAATATTCGGCCTAGCAAAAGATCGCACTGGTTGCCATATTTGGCATTCAAAGCAAAAGAAAAGTTTTACCTGAAAATACAATACATTGTAGGAAAAGTCATGTTGGAATTGAATATTATCTGAAAAGATAGAGGTACTTAAAATCAATGCTTAAATTGGAGAAGACTGATAAGTAGGAGTAATATAGTTGACTGAAATTACCCTTATTTTATTTGCCTAAAACATCATTTTTGGAACTTTCTCTTACATTTGTTTCTGTAGGTATCGTCTTGAAATATATTCTGTACTTTCTATCCTATGATAATGTGTTTTACATTTTGAAGTAACAATTTAAATACTTACACAATTTGTAATTTTCCATACGCGTTCTTCGATACAAGCTGCATTACTGTTGGTTTTCCACTGATGTTTGTCTGAATAAGAGGACTGGAAAGGTTTATATTATCTTCTACAACAATGGTATCAGTTTTAATTTGAACCTAGAAACATCATAATAATACTATAACAATTTTTTGAATATTATTTATAAAGCAGAAAAGTAAAGTAAAAACCTTGATCTTATCAGAGGAAATTGGAGAGGTGATAGATTGTAACACAATTTAAGCTTATGTGTTGTATCCCATATTTTTTTTAAACTGTGAGTTAAGATTAATAAATGTCATGTAGGGTGGAAACTAAATCAATTGGACTGTAAAAAACAGGATACATCTTTGGCTACTTTTTGTAAGTAGGTTTTTACCATACAGTTTTTTAAACAAACTTCATACTTTGGTTTGTAAGATTGCTAATGTAATCCTTGTACATTAATAAGAAAACAAAATTAAGGTAGTAGGAGAATAACAAAGTATGATTATTTCAGCGGCATGTTATCAGACTTCCCTACCTTCAATGGGCTCGACTGACTCAGGATAACTTCGGAGGACATGGATTCCTATTCGAAAGTTGTTCTCCCTGAGTCCCTCTATACGCTTCCTCAGTTTGGCCCTAACCTTTTGATTCATTCTGTATAATACTAAGAGGTCGTTGATATGATATTACTCTTCAGAATGTGCATGCCCCAATGGAGGATAAAACTGATGGCACAAAGTATAATATCTATGAGGATCTAGAGCATGAACATTTTGTTAGGAGATTTCAATGCCAAAATAGGTAGAGAAGATGTTTTTAAGCTGACAGTTGGGAACGAGAGTTTACGCAGGAAGCAGTAAGAAAATCAAAAGATAATATTAACACAAATAAGTTTTCCCTGAACACATTTGGTTAGTGGTACATTTGATGTGTTAAATTAGAATTAGTGGTACGCCAGCGAAAAAGTGTGAGAACCCCTGGCTTAGAAGTATCAACTTCCAGAACAGAAGTAATAGCTTTTAGGGGTGGCAACACAATTTTTAAGATAAAACAGCAGGCTGGATACCTACAACAACTGAAATAATGATTAAAATAAATACTCACTCTGAATTCATTCCCTACTTTCTTGACATTACAGAGTAGCTCTTCATCAAAGAGAGAGATAATGAGTGCCCAGTTAGATGGATCTTTGTGTTTTGCTGTTGACGGTCTTTCATTCAGAAATTTGTATGATCTGATATCCATCTTGGAATACACGCAAGCTGCAATTGCTAAGATGTGCTGTTTGTCTGTATTACTGAGCTGTCTTCCTTTGAAACCATCTGGATACACTTCAGATAGGTAATTTGTTGAGATGTTTCCATTAACAAATTTTTTTTCTGTCAAGATGTCTCGTAACAACGGAATGTTGTGTGTTACGCCTGAAATTAGATGTAAAGTACTATAATATGAATTTAGCAAAGTATCCAGAATCTTAATATACAAGTATACATTGTAGTGAGTGACCAATAATATTAATTTATTAACATGATGATACATTCAGTTCATTATGGAACTACATCCTTTCCTTTTATTACAAATGGTCCCACAGTGGCGGAATATTATTTATGCCATTTTTAATTTGGTGCCCACTTTCAACAATTTTGTTTTTGTGAACATTTTCTGAACTCTAGGAAACATCTGCATATTTGTAGTTATGAGCTCAATGTAAAATATCCTAGTGAGGTGTGGAGTCTGGAGTAAATTAGCCTATGTAGGGTCTCAATCTTCAGGTTGAACCTTGAGGATGGAGGTAATACTTTTCTCCAAAATTATGATGATAAATTTCAGACAACACGGCGTCGCAAATCAGACCACACTTGATTCCTACTGCTTTGTCATCTTTGAGCACCTGTTGTCCATTTGATTTGCAATGTACTGCAAATACATAGACAACAGCTAGAGCCTTGGCTGGTTTCATGCTTTGCATAAATTATATTGTTTCAAAAGGAAGAACTTTAATAGTTCTGCATGTCTACAATTCCTGTTGCTTAAATGTTGCAGGTAAAGCCAGAATCTTAATAAAATATTGGAAAGCTTTCTTCAAGGCAAATGTATCCATATTAATGGAGGAACATTTATGACATGCAAAAACAGTGTGTTTACAGATTTAGAAAAGCAATCTGAAAGTTTCCAAACGTGTACTGATGTTAGCCACTACTAAACCATTAACCCCTAAATTAAAACCTGGCCAGCAAGTCAGTAGTAAAGGGGTTTAAAATTCTCTATTCCTGTATGATAAAAATTTAGAAGTATAGAATAAAAAAAGTTTAAAATGAGAAATTAAAAATAATTAGAGAAAATCTACAGTTAAACTTTTGAAAGAAAAAACTAACAAACAGCGGAATGAGATAGTATGGTAATGTTTTAAGAATAAAAAAAGAATTGTAAAGAGAGGTCCGAACATGAATAAAAAAGGAATATGCTCAAGACAGAGAGACAGAAAGTAAGATCAGGATGTGGGGAAAAAGGTTAAGAAAGGTGTCACACAGGAGGAAGGAAATGGAAGAAATATTGGAGAAGGTATTGTAGGATGTCAGATTTATGGAGAAAGTTGGCTGTCAGATGGGATGTAAGGATATAGACTAGAGTCATCTGATTCAAGACAGTATCTAATGGTCGATTCTTGTGAACACAATAATGAATCTCTCTGGCTTCCATGAAAGATAGGGAATTTTTTGACCAGCCAAGTTAGTTACAAAAATGATAATACTAATACCTCTTATGACGTATGAGTCTAGTGCCTTAAGACTTGTATCGATCGCTTCATTTCTTGTGTTTCCATAGCATACAAGTTTACATATCATTGGATCATAGTATATACTTATTTCACTACCTTCATCTATGCCACTGTCACAGCGTACCTGAAAATGTTAATGAACAGCAATATAAAAATATTAGGAATGATTGATTGTGCAGTTATTCAGGTTAAAAAAGTAAAATCAACAGAGAAAACTTTCATATAAGAAATACAATTTTGAGTCAAGATACAATTTGTTAGTATAAGTAACTCCCATTTGCATTTTCCCAAGTTTTGTTATAGCAACACAGTCAAGTCTTCATTATTTGGAGATAAGCCATTGATCCAAAATAGACAGAGCCCTCAGAGAACTTAGTTTAACACTTCATATGGCAAGAAGGAAGAAGAGTGAGAATTACGACATACACTCATTGAATACTGGTATGTTATTGTTTAAATGGCATTAAATCCTGCATTGTAATACGCATTACACTTTTACTTTTATGCATGCCATTGTCATTATAATATCCTGTGTTTTACCTGTAGACTCTTCAGAACTATATTCTAACTTACCTGCATATGCATGGCCAAGAATGGATATTTTAACATTCAGCTACGTGTCTGACACAGTTTTAAGTACATAATATGTAGCTTGTAAAAAGTAAATTTCAATCAGTCATTAAAGATGCAAATTCCATGGAAAAATGTTCTTACGTTTGGTATATGTAGTGGTTCGATGTATTTGTATAATCTGCCAATAGATGGAAGACCAAAATTTTTGTAAGGATCCTCTGAATACACTCTACTCTCTATTGCCCAACCTTTTATTGGAATATCCTTTTGCGTTAAGAGCAAAGGATGACCTGTTAAAAAGAAAGTTCAAGCTTAATATTATCATAGTTCCTGTAACTTCCAGTTGTATAACAAGGAGTCTGTTTTTACCCTATGTCCAATACTTTACGAGCTGAACATCTGCTTTATATATAACATATATTTTATTTGTGCACAAAACCCTGGAGATCTTACTTATATTTTAAGTGTCTTTATAAACATGGGTGGTCTGCTCTTGAATCTTCACACACAAATTATGCACTCTAACAGATAGAAATTTACATGTCTTCCATCAAAAAATAAAGAATAGTTAAAATGTAATTCATTATTATTTTTATATGCCAGATAATAGCAGTAAATCTGAAAATGTTCATCTGCACCTTCACTGCAATAAATACCTTTTGCTACACGAATCATCTGATGAACCAGGTCAACCCCTGTAATATACTCTGTAACGGGATGTTCAACTTGCAACCTCGTGTTCATTTCCAAAAAGTAGAAGTTATGTTGAGAATCCACCAAGAATTCAACTGTGCCTGCTGAGTAGTAACCAAGGCGTTTGCACAAAGACACTGCTTGTTCTCCCATTGCTTTCCTTGTTTCTTCATCTACAAAAGTACTGAAATTATAAAACGTGATTTCAGTCTCTAGTTAGAAATTTGTTACTTCTCTTACATGTTAAATTATGATGCAGATACGCATAAAAGGTATGAAAATCTTCATTGCAATTTTTACATTTTCTTAAATATTACAGGTTTACAAATGTCTTTACTACTAATTTAGAGCAGTTATCTGGATTCTCACAGAATTACAGCAAAAGTATACAAAAGCTTATGCTTGTAACATTTATGTCTTTGCTCTTAGCATTTTAATTACCACTGTGTGATTACAGAGGATAAAAGGAATTTTGTATTTCATCAGAATGTAATTTTATCTTCTGATGTGTATGTATATAATATTTCATTGCAGTACATATTCTTTCTAGTATGATTGTGGCACTTACACATCAAAATATTTCCAATTTCATCAGAATGTTGTATGCTATGTGAAGTATAATTATGAAATATTTCTCCTAGTACTACTTCCTAGTATATTTCTGCTACTCGCACATGTATAGTGGTATTAATTTTGTAACTTATGTCTCCAGAAAATGCATGCTGACAGGTACACTGCATTTTGAAGATGTTGGTTTACAACATTAATATCTAAGATTTGAGGTTCTCACAGCGGTGAGTATGAAGATTTCTGTCTTCTGGGTTGTTGTGCTGTGTAGTCTGGTCGATGTTTACCAACGTTTCAGAGGTCATACTGCCTCCGTCATCAGAGTATGAACATTTCTGTCTTCTGGGTTGTTGCGCCGTGTAGTATGGTCGAAGTTTACCAACATTTCAGAGGTCATACTGCCTCCGTCATCATCGCCCTGATGATGGAGGCAGTATGACCTCTGAAACGTTGGTTAACATCGACCAGACTACACAGCGCAACAACCCAGATGACAGAAATCTTCAACATTAATATCGTCAGCCCAGAGACCCCAGTATTTTAACACTTATGCCTCTAAATCAGAGCTTCTAAAATACAAAGAAATAGATCATTTATGTCCATACTTTAAAAGTAGTATGAAGGTCACTTGAAAGATCATCTCAAAGACCTGCTCTAAAGTCATGATGTT